TATATATAAAACACTCAGGTACAGTGGTGCCTCACAAGACGAAATTAATTCGTTCCGCGAGTTTTTTCATCTTGCGATTTTTTTCATCTTGCGAAGCACGGTTTCAGAAAAGTTTTGGAAAAGCTTCAAAAATTACCAAAGTCTTCAAAAACCTCAAAAAAGGCTACCACACTATGAGTTGCTCCTCGAAGTCAAGTCACAACTGTATTAATGGTTTTAAGAAAAAGGAAACAAACTTGCAAGACGTTTTCGTCTTGCGAAGCAAGCCCATAGGGGAAATCGTCTTGCGAAGCAACTCAAAAAACCAAAAACCCTTTCATCTTGCGAGTTTTTTGTCTTGCGAGGCACCACTGTACTATGCAGTGCCTAGCTTGCTATTTCATGAATACACACACACACACACACACACAGAGAGAGAGAGAGAGAGAGAGAGAGAGAGGAGGAGAGAGAAGATAGGTAGGTAGATAGATATAGATAGAGTGCTTTTTTCTAAAAAAATGTTTAGGGGTATTCTCATTTTGACTCAAGAAAATCACAATTTTATAGTTCAAATCGGGGAAAATAAATATAGTAAATGGACAAAAGCACAAGATTCACAAAATGTTTAGGGGTATATGTACCCCTGCATCCCCCCCCCCAGAAAAAAAGCACTGGATAGATTAGATAGATGATAGACACACACACACATTCTTTATTGAAGGTAAAATAAGACATGGAGAAAAAAACAATTGTTATACACTCGTGTAAAAAAGAAGAAAGAGGGGACTTACAAAATTGTTATTGTCAGTGTGTGTTTTTTCTGGGGGGATGCGGGGGAATGCATACCCCTAAACATTTTGGGAATCTAAGTTTGGCCTCATTGAGAGGCAGTATTTCAATATGAGTAGGAAAATAAGGGTAGCCCTAAACATTTTTTTTTAGAAAAAAGTGCTGGTTATTGTACTTATCCTAAACATTCCTGAATCTGTCTAATTGTCTTTTAAAGCTTTAGAGGATTTGACTGCAATATTTGAGGCTTTCTAGGATAGTAAAAAAAAATTGTAAGGTGGAAAACATGATAGAAGTACATTAAATTATGCATGCTGTGAAGAAAGAGAATAGAGAGCCCCCCCTCTTAATATTAGAACTTGGAGTCTTCCAGTGAAACTGAATGATAAAAGATTTAGGATGGAGAAAAGAATTCACATAGTAGTGGTTAAACTGTGGCATTTGTCCCCACAAAGTACAGTAATGGCCACCAACTCAAATGGCTTTCAAGGGAGATTAGTCAAATTTGTGGAGAATAAGGGTAGCTGTGCTATATCATTTTTTAATTATGGTGCTGGATGAGACTCTTGAGAACCCCATGGACTGCAAGAAGATCAAACCATTCTTAAGGAAATCAGCCCTGAGTGCTCACTGGAAGGACAGATCGTGAAGCTGAGGCTCCAATACTTTGGCCACCTCATGAGAAGAGAAGACTCCCTGGAAAAGACCCTGATGTTGGGAAAGATGGAGGGCACAAGGAGAAGGGGACGACAGAGGACGAGATGGCTGGACAGTGTTCTCGAAGCTACCAGCATGAGTTTGACCAAACTGCGGGAGGCAGTGGAAGACAGGAGTGCCTGGTGTGCTCTGGTCCATGGGGTCACAAAGAGTCGGACACGACTAAACGACTAAACAACAACAACGTGCTATATCATGAGAAAGGCTCATCTAGTCCAGCATCCTGTTCTCATAGTGGCCAACTGGATGCCTATGAGAAATCCATAAGCAGGACAACAAGCAGTTTCCAGCAATTGGAAAAGGCTGGAGATACTATCTCTTGTCATGGCCTTTGTCTCATTGACCTGATTCGGAGGGCTGTTCTTATATTCTTAGGCAGATAGTCTATTTGTAAACAATATCAGGCAAATACCCCTAGAATATCTGGAAAGTATTTGACATCACATTTTGCAGAAGGAAATTGGAGGCGAGCATTTTTTTCAGCAGTAAAAGGATAGATCTTTGCAATCTATAACATTTCGACGAGGAAGAGGGTTTCCAGCCCCTCTTTCTGATTTTCCCACAGGAGCCAACCACTTGAACTATGTTTATTACCAAAGGCCTCTTCTCATTTTAGCTGGCTCTTTCAATATCAGCTTGATTGGAAGAAAACAGGAAGCTGCCGTCTTTAAAAGTATTTGGCAAGATTTCCATTCGTCTGGCCCATTTGATCTTAAGTCCCCTGGGAATTTGGTGAACGTCCCTTTATGTTCCTTTGGTTGCATGTTAAGAGGCAAGGAGAAAAGGGAAGCAGATGAGCTTGCAAAATAATCCCTCCTCCCATTAATAGTCATCAGAATCTTCCTCAGGAAAAGGAAAGAAAAACATTGATCTTATGTCTGCTGACTTTAATGAGACTGCCCTGCACAGGATGGCAGCTGTTCTGTCAATTAATGGGACTGTAAACAAATGCATCATTTGTTTATTTATTTATTCTGTTTACATCAATTTTCTTTGTTTTAGGTGAGGGAATTGTTCTCGGATCTCCAGCCGGCTTCTCTCTTCTCACTTTCTGGGGTGGTTCTGACTGGCTGCAAAACACTTTTGTTTCCCCCTCCTGAGTTTCTGGGATTGTTTTCCATGAAGAGTATTGTGACAGAATGTCAGGGCCAGCTCTGTCATGAGCCAAGCTGAGCCACTTGCCTCAGGCTGCAAGATCAGTAAGGTAAAGGTAAAGGGACCCCTGACCATTAGATCCAGTCATGGCCGACTCTGGGGTTGCGGTGCTCATCTCGCTTTATTGGCCGAGAGAGCCGGCGTACAGCTTCCGGGTCATGTGGCCAGCATGACTAAGCACTTCTGGTGAACCAGAGCAGTGTAAGGAACACTGTTTACCTTCCCACCGGAGTGGTACCTATTTATCTACTTACACTTTGACATGCTTTCGACATGCTAGGTTGGCAGGAGCAGGGACCAAGCAACAGGAGCTCACCCCGTCGTGGGGATTCGAACCACTGACCTTCTGATCAGCAAGCCCTAGGCTCTGTGGTTTAACCCATAGCGCCTCTCTCTCTCTCTCTCTCTCTCTCTCTCTCTGTGTGTGTGTGTGTGTGCGTGTGTGTGTGCGCCTGAGCCCTCTCCAGGATTTCAGAACAAATGTGCTCTTTTGAAAGCCACTATGGGGTAGGTAAAAGGGTCCATTTAGGGGTTTGTTTTTTTAAGTTTCTCAGTTTTTTCCCCAATATCAAATTCAGATTTCCACATCAGCTTGCAATTTGTTTATTTATTTATTTTGAAAAAGCCTCCAAGGGACATTTTTCCTTCTCTTGTGTGAATGCCCTCAGGTCTCAGTATTCTGGTCCTAAGTTTATCAATAAATATAATCTGTTCAAGCTTCTCCGCAACTGTTATTATTGAATATGTGGACAGATCCTATGAAGCTTGTCCAGCTTTGCCAAAATGTACATGGACAGTTCCCCAGGACAGTTCGGTCGACTAGTGCTTAATAAATGGTCCTGGGCCTGTCTTGCACACAGAATCCCAAAAATGCTGGCTCCCTCTAAGCAGTCAGTGACAGTGGCGTAGCGTGGGGGGTGCAGGGGGGGGCCGGCCGCACCGGGCGCAACATCTGGGGTTAGGGCAAATCCACAGGTTAGGGGGCGCAAATCCACGGGTTAGGGGGCGTCAGTGAGACACTTTCTCCCCCTTTCATATTTCAACATTCAATTCCAACACATCCATGCAGATCAAATTTAAGATGCTGAGATTTTGTTGTTGTTGTTCCACTGTGGTTAGTTTAGGTGGGAGGAAATTGTGGGATGGAGACGACAGTTTTGATCAAATTACAATGGTTTTTCAATATATGGAGTGTGGTATTACATCTCAGAAGGGCCCCAGGGGAGAGGGTGGGGAAGAGCAATCTCTTTTCCCCATGACTAGGTAATTTCATACACATCAGCTCAATAAAAATCAACCGAGAGGACCTGGAACATCTATTCTATTCATCTATTAGGCATTATGGGGCTGCAGATACACTCCCCTGTGAACAAGGAACGAGGCAATTGGAGCATTTGCATCTACAAGGAGCTCTTAATCCTTGCGATCTTTCATAAACGTAATATTGATTTTGTTATTTATACCCCACCCATCTGGCTGGGTTGATTTTGCCCCAGTAAAAAAGGGATAGGATCATGTCCAAAAGGTGGGTGCTTGGCAGGTGCTTGGCAGGGGGTTGGACTCGATGGCCCTTGTGGTCTATTCCAACTCTATGATTCTATAATTCTAAGATAAATAGATAGAGAAATGTTTTTCTGCATCTTTCATAAGTCTAGAACTGAAGCTGAATGTTGAAAGATTCAGGCCAGACAAAATAAAGCGCTTCTTCACACAATGCAGAGTTAAGCTACGGAACTCACTCTGACAGGAGGCAGTAACAGCCTCCTTCCAGCAACTCCTGCAGCCAAGCTGGTGCCAAATGTATTGCTCTGTTTTCCCTTGGACCACTTTAGCGAGGCTGAGAGTGGAGTTTTTATTGTATGGGCAGCTGAGGACCTACAAACACACTGCCCAGCCTTGCACCCTGAGGAGGTCATGCTGTTGCTGCTAATGCAACAGTTTGACTTCACCCCCAGAGGTTCACCCGCTTGCCTCTCAAGACAGACAGATGCCAACATATGCCAGGCATCTTTTGGGTCCTTCATCCCCCTGTCTTTGGAGTGAAGAGCCTGGAACCTGGAACATGTTAGCTGGTAGGGCCCAGACACCCCCCCCCGCTATAATTGTACTTTGTTAATTGTATTCTGTGTTGAGAGCCTAAAGGTAAAGGACCCCTGACAGTGAAATCCAGCCACAAATGACTCTGGGGTTGCGGTGCTCATCTCACTTTACTGGCCGAGGGAGCCGGCGTTTTGTCCACACACAGTTTTTCCGGGTCATGTGGCCAGCATGACTAAGCCACTTCTGGTGAAACCAGAGCAGCGCACGGAAACACTGTTTACCTTCCCACCGGAGTGGTACCTATTTATCTACTTGCACTTGATGTGCTTTCAAACTGCTAGGTTGGCAGGAGCAGATTTACAAAGACTGATATACAGTACCACACACAGTCAATAAATAAATCTCTAAGAAGTATGTGTTTCTAAACAAAAAACAAAAAAATCTCAAAGTGGTTTTTCTGTTTTTGTGCTATTATATTGTTGCTTTTATGCTGTATTTTTGCATGCTTCTTAGAGGTTTTAAATATGAAGCAGTTTAGACATGCTTTGAAATAAATAAATAGGCAACATGAATACACCTGCCTGTGCAAACAATAGCTGGCTTCTGGGCACGTGCCATCTCCGATGGCTGCGAGACACATATGAAAAAGATGGTTGACACAGAGTCCCTTTGGTACCCAAATTGATTTGAAGCTCCTTTGGAGGAATTCATTTGTCTGTGCTGCAGGAAATATGCTGTGAGTTGATATACCTTTCTGTTGAAGTGCCAGGAGGCTTTGACTAGATAATAGGATATGCTTGTCCTTCCAGACGTCATTGGATTGTAGAGTATTCTGCCAGGGGAAGCAGTTGGGACAAACACATGCTATAAATGATTTTGAAGCAAAGGTGGGGATTTATTTAACTATGGGCAGAGTTGGGCAGCACATTTGCCAGAAGAGAAGCAATATGAATGAACACCACCCAAAGGTCACTGGTGGATTCACGACACCCTGGGGTTATCGTCGTCAAAATTATGGTGCATCCATATCTGAGATCTTCATCGGTTGCCTTGATTTTGCAAACTGAAAGTGAATTATCCGGGATAAATTGAATAATCTGCTGATTATTTGGTTTGGAGGAAATGACAAAGTGGTGCAAAAGGCAAATGTAGAGAAGCATGTTGTAGGTTGGATATAGTTCTGTTTATTTTATAATAAGGTCTAAGGGGAGCTAAGCTGGTGCTGTTTATATACTCCAAGGATGTGGAGGGGGGGGAAAACTAGTTTAATGTAGATTTTTCTGGCTTCCACTGTGTTCATTCTTTGTAACTCCATTACTAGTAAATGTAAAGGAATCATTATGAATAAATCTAAAGAAAGTAAAGAGGAATATAACTGAACGTATTCTTACACTGAAGGGATTAAGGGATTGATCCGCATCCTGGCTAGGGAAGTACAAAAACCGCTTCTTCAATTTTATAAATACTGATTGCTGACAATTCTTTCTTCTTGCACATACTGGCAATACATGTTTGGGACAAAGTGGATACAAATAATTATCATGGGGGTACTATTATTGACAGCTGATACCTTTTTCCTATTACACAAAAGCACAGACAGCGGGATAAATTAATTTGGATCTGGATCCTTCTTGCAGTTCCAGCTTTGTTGTTCAATAACCTGCAGAATTAAGCGACTGCTGCCCATCCCACAATTCATTTACGATTTACACACATACTCCAGAATCAAGACACAAATCTGCAGATGGGCAGGAGTCTTTCCCCATCCCTACCTGAAGACATTGGGGATTGAACCTGGGACCTTCTGCATGCAAGGTAGACTCTGTCACCAATCTAAGGCCCTTCCTCATAGGTAGGGGCAGTAAATGGATCAGCAACTGTAGAAAAATAAGGAAGACAGAGTCTAGGAATGGACAAATTTCAGTTTTGGTTTTTATCCATTTTCCCCTTTTCCAGTCTTAAGTTCATTTCTGCATCAGTTTGCAATTAAAAAACAAGGTCTTCATGAAAATTCACCAGCATTTGAGTGCATCTACATATTTATATATGCACTTTTGCAAAGCAACATTCCCTCATTTATTGCATTTTTGTATTTTTTTGGTATGTCCTTTTCACCAATATATGTATTTTTCTACATATTTTTGGCTGCAGAGCTTCCTCTCAAAATTTCGATATATGCAAATTTCAAAGGATGGCCGCATTTTGGTTTGTGCATCATTTCAGGACATGTTTTCATAGAACTGTAGAGTTGGATGGGACCTTGATTTAGAGGTAATGATAGAGCTAGCAATAATAACAATAATAATGATGACAAATGGTAGCCCATTAGCCAGATGTGCATACAGAGGAAGTTAACAGTTGCAAGTCTGACTCCTGGGTGGCTGAAGGGGATGCCTTTCTCAAGAGGGGTCTGGAGATATGCAGCTGCTTCCATAGGGGCAGTGGGGAGATTGGGGTGAATGACAGCTTTTTGGGACAAGCAACATCTTTTGGAGTCTGGGGAATGGCAATATGCTCGATGAGTCGCTGGGTTATTATTGGCTCTTGGAAGGAAGGTGTTAACGGTGGCATCCAGTCAACTCATTTGTGAGGCAGCCTGCTTCCTTCCAGACTCTGCTAATTAGACCTTTTGGGATTTGAGAATTGAGAGGCATTGGGGGGTTGTTTGTGTTTGTATTTTATGAGCCGTCTGCAAACCAGCCCCCTCCCCTCCATCCATTCCACTGATTCAATTGGTTCTGTCAAATACTCTCTTTTAAGCATCCTCTCTGCACACAGGTAAATGTAAGGTATGAATTGGTAACACACAGGTAGGGCCAATGTGATCCAGACCTTTTAAAAAAGGCTCAGAAATTTGCAGGCAACCTCAGTACAGCACACATGGATTTTCCCCTTGTATCTTGTGAAGTGGACTAAGGTTGAGATATGGTGACAGGCATTAGGTGGCTTTGTGAGCTTTGTAGCCAGCCAGGAATTTGAGTCTCCTCAGTTCAAATAAGAATATAATAAGAGTCCTGATAGATCAGGCCAATGGCCCATTCCATCCAGAATACTGTTCTCACAGTGGCCAACCAGATACCCATGGGAAGCCTGCAAGGCACAGGAGCACTTACCCCATTTGTGATTCCTAGCAACTAGTCTTCCAACATGCAGTCTCATTGGAAGGCCCCATCAATGGATTTAAGTATTAGTTCCTAGCTGCTGCAAATTTAGCACTCTGTCTAGCTCACCATGCTGCCTGACCATTGACCCATCATCCAACAGCATCGTGTGGGGGGAAAATATGAAAACCAAGCAGAGGGGGGGGAATTGAATGCCCTGCTTGGAGAAATTGACACACTAAAACCCTGGGAAAGGGCTGTAGCTAAGTGCTAGAGCATCTGTCTTGAATGCAGAAGGTTCCAGGTTCACTTCCTGGCATCGCCAGGTAGGGCTGGAAGGGAATACTGCTTGGGGACATGGCAAGCTGCTGCATCTCTATGTAAACAGTATGGATCTAGATGGACCAGTGGTCTGATTCAGTCATTCAGGTGCTTCAACCCCCACAACACATTCCCCATGAAGGGACAGGGCACCCACAATTTTTTGCGGCGGTGCCGTGCATGCTGCAGGGGGGGGGTGCCCGACGTCAGCATGCCCGGCAGGGGAGCATATGCTCCGGCCGAGCACACCCCCAAGGGAGCCCGCTGCTCCCAGCCCAGCCGGCTGCACTGCCCAGTTGAGGAGAGGTGCAGCCAACTCCAGGAGGCCCTGGAGTGGCTCCGTGCACTACCACCAATCACTGACGGAGGAAGGTGGGTGTGGTGGGTGCGGTCCGACCCAGGTGCCCTCCCTGAGGGGGTTGACATTGCTGTGCTGCCCCCCTGGGCCACCGCTCGCCACGTGCGGCACCCCCCGGGAAGCTCGCACCGCCCCCGGGTGCAGACCACTCTGGGTGCCAGAGCACCTAGCTCCGCCTCTGCCACCACATGCCTCCTTATCTTCTGGAGGCCCAACGAAGCCCATCACAGCTGTGGGAAGGCCCAAGAAGGCTGTGGGAAGGCCTAACGAGGTCTGCTGCAACCACGGGAAGGCCCAATGGGGCCCATTGGGCCTTCCTGCAGCCGCAATGGGCCTTGTCGTGCCTTCTCGCCCTAACGGGTCTCCTCCTGCCGTGTGACATCACACTTGTACCACCTGTGTGATGTCACAGGCCTTCACCAGGCACCCACAAAGTGGGGCAGGACCCAGCACCCATGTATTCAGTAGAAGGCACCTTCTTCTGCTTCCTATAAGAAAAACACTTCCTAAGAAGAAGGGTATGCTGCAACATTTTATTGCAACTCCCCCTTGCCATGGCGACTATAGCCATGATACAGAAACTACTCCACCTTAAGCAAACTTGTAATGCATAGTGAGAGAACCCACAGCAGCTACTAGACTAAGGGCTCAACCACACATCTGTTTGCCCCATTTCCCCTAGGGAAACCCATATTTTAGAGCTGAATTGGAAAAAAATCACAATTGGATCTTCCATGGATTGCTGTCTGTTCCAATTTTGCTCTAAAGAGTGGGTTTTCTGGATGAAAGTGGTGGGGCAATTGCTTGGACTTCTGCTTTCTAGACATCGTTCAAGCAGATGTGTGGATGAGTCCTAAGTAATTGTGCATTTCTGAGCTGCAGCCCAGGAAGCCCTGGTTTGTTCCTTGTCCCTTCTACCATGTTTGTTGGGTCACCCTGCTGACATTGACTTGCTAAGTTTTTTCCCCCCAGGATGATACAGCTGCACAAGTCACCTGCATGCTCTCCTATCTCCATTGAATTTACAGTTAGTCTTCAAACTAATATATAGCTCAGAGGATTTCCTCTTCTTCTTTTTGATTCTCTCAAAGATGGAACATCAGTTCTGGTTGAATCCAAGCATGACCAATTTCAGCCTGAAATACAATTTCTCCAAGGAGAAGCAGATAAACAACATAAGTGGAAGTTTGGAAAGGAAGCTGCCACTCAGTGTTGCAACGCACAACTGGAAAAGCAGGAAGTGACCCAGAAAATGCAGGCACCTCTCCCCACCCTCCGATGCCAAATTTGACATAATATCATTGCCACACTTATTGCAGACAAAAACAAGTTTGTATTGGAAAGGAATAGAGTTAACCGAAGCATAATGAACTGCCTTCTATAATAAGGACTGAAACTCCGCGTGAAAACATCTGTTTTGCATTCAGAAGGTCCCAGGTTCAATCCCCAGCATCTCCAGGTAGGGCTGGGAATGTTCCCCATCTGAAATCCTGAAGAGCTGCTGCCTATGCTCCTAGTTAAAAACTAAGAGGAATAGCAAAGCATAAGGTTTCACAGACTGGAGCCCACTATATAAGATTCATAAAACATTGTCACTATGTAAATATGGAGATAGAGCAAGGGTGAAGGACATATGGACCTCCAGATGCTTTTGGACTCAAATTCCCATCATCCCTGATCATTGGACATGCTGGCTGGGGCTGATGAGAGTTGGAGTCCCACAACATCTGGATTGCTACATGTTCCTCATGCCTAGTGCAGAAAAAAGAATGTAAACAGGTTAGATGGAAAAGGCAAAAGCTTCAATGTTTACCAAAGAAACAAAGGGTCCATTCCTAGCAGTAGGTATGAACTGTGACTTCACTGCCATGAATAGTTATGGTGCATATTTTGCATACATTTAAACTTGAATGTAATTGTTGGTGTTCTTTTTGCATCCAATCTGCAAAAAACAGCAGCAGGACCAGATTGCCATCATGCGGGGCCTCACTAAGGAGGCCCCACAGCAAGCGCTGGAGATGCCCCTTGAGCTCCTGTGGGTGATGCCCATTTTTATCCCAGCGGGTCCTCGGAGTGGGAGGAGGGGAAAAAGAAGAGATTTTGAGAGCTTGTAATGTGTGGGACGTGGGTGGCCCTGTGGTCTGGACCACTGAGCCTCTTGGACTTGCCGATCAGAAGGTTGGTGGTTCGAATCCCTACGATGGGGTGAGCTCCCATTGCTCGGTCCCAGCTCCTGCCAACCTAGCAGTTCGAAAACACAGCAAAAAATGCAAGTAGATAAATAGGTACCGCTCTGGCGGGAAGGTAAACAGCGTTTCCATGCTTTGCTCTGGTTTCGGTGTTCCGTTGTGCCAGAAGCAGCTTAGTCATGCTGGCCACATGACCCGGAAAAACTGTCTGTGGACAAACGCCGGCTTCCTCAGCCTGTAAAGCGAGATAAGCGTCGCAACCCCAGAGTCGTCTGTGACTGGACTTAACTGTCAGGGGTCCTTTACCTTTACCATTTTAATATGTGAAGGAGAAAGGAAGAGCCACATAAAGGGAACTCAAGACTAATAACTTACCCCCTGGTCCTCTTCATTGTCTTCATCTGCAACTGCCTGAAAGGCAGAGTGCAGGATGGTCCTGTGAGCTTCATGAAGCTGGAGGGGTGGAGGGGAGAGTGTTAGACTCTGCCTCTTCCAAGTGTCCCTTGTCCCATTCTCCCTCCTCCCACCACTATTCCCCACACTGAGCTTATCCCAGAGCCCTGCCCTACCACCTCAACCCCCACCCGTTAAAAGAAACACAATTCACCTCAACTGAAAGAAGGCTTCAAGGGCCAAGGCAAGGATTCCAGGGCGGTCCTCAAACTGGTCCAGGTGCCCCAGGATATCCTGAAAGAGAGCAGAGGAGAAAAGTCAGATTGCTCTGCGGGCATCAGGACAGCTTCAACCCCAAACTCCAGGCTTTGCTTTCTGCAGGAATGAAAAACTCCATGCCCTATGCCTACACGGTTCTCTCAGGCAGTCCCACAACACGTTCCCCAAATCCCATCCCTGGTTCTCCCACTGTAAGGGTAACTTACACAACTTTGCACTCACCAAAATTCCTTCAGCAGCCAGATGTTTGGCAGCTCAATGGTTTTGAAGTCCCTCTGTGCTGCCTCCATACAAGTCCCTATATTCTGGACCAAGAAGAGCTTTTCAAGGTCCAATGGCTGAAATGGCAAAAGTCAGGCAAAAGTTCATAGTGAGGTGAGGGCTTCTCCACTTCAGAGACTGCAGAATTGGGGGCAAAGACCACAGTCAGTGGGCAGAGGGTCTGAGGGATCCAGTCCCTACTCTTTTGTTTTCCCCAGCACTAACCTCAGGCTCTGGAAAAGCCTTGAAGAGCTGTGGCACAACTGCAACAAGAGAAGGACATGGGGACAGATTAGTTCATCCCTTAGCAGCTTCCAAGATTATTTCAAGAATCTTCTCCTTGATTTCCCTGCTTCTACGCTCTTACGACAGGGGTGGCAAACCCCAGTGTGATGGCCTGGGATTCCGAGTCTGAGAGCGATCCGGAGGAATCCCAGCCGGCACAGGAGTCCCCGCCTCCAGGGCCGGCTGAACTGGGGCAAGGCCTAGATGCTGAGGAAACTCAAGAGCAGGCACCAGGTGAAATCATTCAGGCCCCAGAGGTGCTGGAAGACTCAGTGGCTACAGGTGAGCCTCCCCCGGGGCCCAGTAACCCTTCGGCCTCTCCTGATCTGCAGAGGCTTAGGGCAGAGAGGCGAAGGGAACTGGTGTCTCCCAGGAGGAGTGCTCGCCTTAAGGCCAAGAGAGGCGGGGCTTCTGGGGGCCGGGACCGCCCCCAGCCTTAGAAGAAGATAAAGGTCAGGCAGCCCGGTCCCAGGTTGCGGGAGCAACGTCGTTGTGGAGTACCTGTTTTACCCAGTCCTTGTTCGGCACTCCCAGTGTGCCTGTTCCTCGCCCGGCTTCCTGTTTCTGACTCTCCGGTGTACCTGTTCCTCGCCTGGCTTCCTGCTTCTGCCCTACCAGTGTTCCTGTTCCTCGCCTGGACTCCTGCTTCTGCCCTACCAGTGTTCCTGTTCCTCGCCTGGCTTCCTGCTTCTGCCCTACCATCGTTCCTGTTACCCCGCCTGGCTCCCTGTCTCGGACCTCGCGTCTCATCTAGTGATCATCTACCCTGCTAGAGACTCTGGACTGATCTTGGCCTACGGTAATAGTACCTTATCCCCCCTGGGACCAGCACACCCCAGGCCTTGGGGCCCAATCTTGGCCAGAATGTGGCTCACAAGAGAATGTGGCCCTCTAGTTGACAACTGTCCCCCAGCCCTGTACTATCAGCTGCCTCTGCCTTTTGCTTCCACTAGAAATTCTTCCTCTCCCCTCTCAGTCAATAGCATCTTCAGCAGACCCCACAAAACTGGCTGGCCACTGGGGTGGGTTTCCAGATGCTAGACCAGATGAGCCTTGGGTCAAATCCAGCAGTCTGGCTCTTTTGATATATTTTTTTACTAGCTTCCCCTCCCCCACAAATCCTATACCCTGAGCTGCCACCCTAGCCTATTCCTTCCCTTCCAAAAATGGCGCTGGGGGGCACTTGCTCACCTGGTGCCACAGGCTGTTCCTGGCGCTGGAGCGGGGCCACTTTGTTGCTCCTTTTTAGTGTCAGAAATTTCTCAGTCGCCTGAGCGTAGAAGACATGATGCAGAACAGAAATACGTTTAGCCTAATAGAGACCTGCCGGCACATCCCTACCAATTGCTTCCATCTTTCTGCCGTTGAACGAACTGTAGGACTTCCTAACAGCTGCAAAGAGGCAGCCAAGAGCATTCAGGGCTTGCAGAGAAAGGAGGTACTAACTCCTGCCATTCCAGGACCAAGAGAGCCTGGCTACCATAGTTCATGCCCTGGTTGCTTCAAGACTGGATTACTGCCATGCACTGTATTAAAAATTAAAACAAGTAAAATTAAATGTAAACAATTGAAATCAAATAAATCAAATAAAAGTCAAAATGAGAAAATCAAAATAAGAAAATCCAAATCCAAAGCCTCTACAAAATCTCCTTCCGCCATCCGCACCCACACCTCTATCTCTCCTGATCTTTCCTCACTAACCCACAGTGAACACCTGTAGCTGGTGGCTTTTAAGGGAGAAGCAAGAGATGTCACAAAGGAGGGCAAGTCATTGTTACCATGGCAACCCACCCACCTTGACCCTGGGCCAATCTTGCCCCTCCTGATGTTTCTTCAGAACTTTGAAGCACCTGCTGTTCTGTCTGCAGCTTTGCTGAATCTTCTCTTTTGGAGTTCATGCTTTTATATCAGATCATTCTTCTTTCAGCTACTTTTCCAAAGGGAGACAATCCCAATGTCCCTTTAAATGCAGTAGAAGACTCCCAAGTCTAGAGGTGTCCATAGTACAGGACTAGACAATCTGCTTTGCATGCAACACCATCCTCATCCTCATAGATAATCCTGGACAACATCTGCAGGTGGGGCCTTTTCTCTTTGGAATGACCCTTCCCAGCTGTTACAGCCTGAAGACTGCTATCTCTATGGCCATCTCCAAAAGCAACTTATACATAGCCCAATGGTGCATCTAATGTAGAACTGAATTTCTGAGTTTTATAGAGACAGCACTTTTAGCATCAGCATTCAAATGTCTATCCTCCTGATTGATATGGAATGGACTTGTACCTGTGTCCTGCTTGTCCCCTGTAACCTTGAGTTGTCTGGTCTCTCAGCAATCTGTAACAGAGTTCCCATTCAGGTCTCAAACACCTTTCGATCACCACCTTCCCCATAAAAAGAAAGGAGGAGAGTAACCTGCATGAGGGCAATGAAAGCAATTAGAGGTCTCCTGGATGGAGGGATTTCCATAACAGGACAGATTTAAAAAAGATTAGGACAATTTAGTCTGGAGCGGAGATGAGAGCATTGAAGATGGCAGTGAGTAAGAAAAGGTCAGGCTGGGCACTTCTGTTTATCCTCTCCTGTATTTGAAGGACAAAGGAGAGGCTGGTAGGTTACATAAAGAAGCAGGCCTCTCTGCTATCCATAGCTATGCAGGCACCAAAATATAGATATCCTTGGAAATTCACTCTTCTCCAAATTTTGTGATGCAGTTCTCGAACCCAAAAATGTGTTAGGGGAAATTGTATGCAAGAATGTGGACATTAGGGGAAACTGCATACAAAAAAATGTGCATATTAAGAGCAACGTATATTGGATTTTATTTTATTTTATTTATTTATATTTATATTATATATATTAAAATGCTAGTGACTTTTTATGAGGACTTTTTTTTAAGGCAAACTGATGTGGGAATGTGGTGAACTGAGCTCAAGACTGAAGAAAAGAAGAGACACTGGCATTGTGTTAGGAGATTGGAAATAAAGAGGAAAGACACAGATTTGGGGGTAAACCAAGTTACCGTATTTGCCCAAATATAAGCAGCACCTGAATATAAGCTGCATGTTTAAAATTGGAGGGGGGAAGAAAAAAAGTAGAAATACCTGAATATAAGGCACACCCTTCCTTGCTGCTCCTGGCTGCATACGGAGTGGGGGGCACACTGCATTGCTGGCAGCCTTTCCCCTTCCTCACTCTTGGGGGAGAGGACGGGGGACTACACATGGGGCGGGCGCCACTTTGCCACGCTCCTGGCTGCATACCGTAAGGTCACAAATATAAGCTGCACTTTAACTTTTCACGGTCAGAATTTGGGGGGAAAGTGAGGCTTATATTCAGGCCAATACGGTAACTACAACTAAGGACCTAAGAAACACAAGTCTCAAGAGCTTGTACAAATGTTTAAACTGCTTAAGGGAAATTAGACCATGTGTGCAAACATCTCAACTCTCTCTGACTCCTAAGCCTGTAATGCAGGGGTGAGCCTACCCTGCAGGGAGGCCCTAACCCTCAGGGCCAAGATTTTGCTAAAAGCCCAACATCGTCCGATTCACTCCAAAACAGTGCCTAACGCTGGGACTAGACCCCCTGCAATGTTTGGCAGTCAAAACACCACATTTGACAGCATCCTACAAAACGAGCCCTCAGCGCCCTAACCCGCGAGGGTCAAGATTTTGCCAAAAGCCCGACGTCATCGAATTCACTCCAAAGTGGCACCAAATACAGGGATAAAGGCCCCTGTAATGTTTGGTGGTCAAAACTCCATGTTTCATGGCACCCCACAAAATGAGCCATGTTAGTCTTAATCCCAGCTCTTGCTGCCCCCAGGGGTGTAGGAAGGGGGGTGCGGGGTGTGTGGCCTATCCTGGGTGTCATCCCTGAGGGGGTGAAACATCCCTTCCTCTTCTCTGCCTCTCTTTCAGTCCAATTGCCAGGAATCTCCCCCCATCGATTTTTCATTATAAAAAAAATGTCTTCTGTTTAAGATCTGGTTTAGCTCTCTCTCTGTCTGTCTCTCTCTGGTTTGGCCAGCATGAATGACTTTCTCAGAATTGCCAGCAACAAGAATACTAGTGTGCATTTTTTGTTAAAATCACCATCATCATGCAAAGCATCACAATCAAAAACGTACTACATCTCCTGCCACCAAGGTTCACCTACGCATTCACAAACTCTGAAGTATATAGGATTCTCAAAATAAACTCTAAAAAATTCATTATAAGGAATCATCTTATTGTTTTCATGGTTTGAGACAGCAGTGCAAATGCTTTGCTTTGGGATAAAATCCACCTCAGAAAGGCAGCACATAGATGAAGTTTTCAAAAAGCCTCCCCACCCACACCTAGGGACTAATTTTCACAAGAGGTTGAAGTCCCTTTCTCTGCTTCCTCTTCCTCCAACTCCCATTCATCTGCCCCATTGCTCCATCTGCTAATTGCTTGGAGACCCTTCTCAGAGACAAAGAGTTCCTTTTCCTGAAGATGCAAATCAAATCCCAATTCTCCTTGGGCAGGCAGGAGCAGATCTCTTGACGCTGCACATGAATATACATCTGCATGTTTGTTTGGCTGGGTTCTTTTTTGTTTGTTTGGCTGGGGAAACGCTGGAGGAGCTGGAAGTGCCTTGCCATTGCAACCTCTCCAGGAAGCTGAGAGGCACACACAGCTGCTCTTCTTCTCCTCAGTGCACAGTGCTACGCTGCCAATTAGCAAGGTTCTCCTCTCAAGTCAAACAATAGGAAGAGGCTGTTATGACGCCAAAGGAAAGCCTGCATAAGGGTGGGTTTAGCACCCACTTGAACCCATGGCACTCTGATTGCAGGAGGTGAAGCTGAGATGATGGAAGGAGGAGACGCAGCCTCTTTGAAGAAATTGCTTCCTTTTATCTGGAGATATGGATATGCCTTATAATTTGGAAGGGGATGTGTTCCAAATCAATGCAGATGTATTTCAGCTGATATTTTACTCAGAGCCTAGTACCTAGAGGTCCTGGTAGAATTTCTCAGCAAGGCTAGGTTAGTCAAGTCACTTAAAATAATGTTGATGCAGTCCACTGAGAAAAGAAATTCTGATAATTCTTTAGTGGGGAAACTGAATACAGTGTGTGATCTGAGGAGAAAGGAACAGAGAAGTTTTGTCTTACTTCAGGTCTTGCACATAGCAGGGAGACAAACAACGAAATATATAGAGGAAAACTCTACATAGCCAATCAGTGAGGCTCATGCCACTATGACTGGTTGTTAAGCAACACCTCCACACACAGCCCTTGAATAGCTGACTAGCATTGAGAACTAAATTAACCCCTTAAGTTACAGACTAATTGATCTCTGGTGTTGCACTTCCAACAGACTAAGCATTATCATCAGCAACTGGCAGTCCTGGTCCAAATCTACCCCTTAATGGGACAATGCTAGCAATTAGTTAGCATCCAGGTTTCAACACAAGTTTCCCCCTTTTATTCCCATTGCCGAAACAGGGAAGGGAAATCAGACATGAGAGTATGTGCCTGAAGGAACATAGTGCTAAGCATGGCCAAACCTGGCCAATGCCCAGATGAGAAATTGTGTCAGAGCCACATGTATACAACCTTGGGTTCCATGATAGAAGAAAGGCAGGCTAAATACATAAGTAAGAATATAAATTAAAAAGAAAATCCTTTTTTAAAAAATAATTGACCCCTATTCCCAATTAATCATGCTTGCCTTTCCAATCAAGTAAGCTTGTGTAAATGGATTGACTAAATCACTTCTGCTATGTATTGTGCTAGCAGTGGCTCTATGGAGAACACAAGCTTTGTAGCGAAAAATCAAGGCAAAAAATTCATTGCTTTTGTCAGCAGCTCAATGCGGTGTTGAGTTCTGGCTTCACACCAATTTGGAGGAATAAGTTTAGGTAGTGACACTTAACAGAGTCTGTCAAGGTCATCAGCCACAGTCAGAGCCTTTCTAGGAATGGGATTGGAGGCCTTGTGCTGTTACTGTGTTACAGGCCTACTTAGCAGTAGCTGCTTGGTGGCAGGCTCTGAAAGGAGAGAGAGAAACTTTTTTTTATATTTATAAATGGGACTCGGTTCTGCTGAATTCATTTCAATAGGCCTGAGAAACAACAAAGTCTGATGGGCCAGAGGTTCTGGCTGGTTGGGAATGACAGTTGGGAGTTAACTGTCAGTTAGGAGAGACAGTTGGGGAAAGTCAGTCAATGAGGGAATCCAGACAAAGCTAAAGGAAAAGTTGATGACTAAGGCCTGAATATTAAGCTGGTTATCCCCAGTTTGTTAACAATACTTTGCTGGTGGAGATCAGAATAATGGAGCCAGCGGCTGACTTATTTTAAAAGGCTCTCTTATGAGAATTACAGGGGCCCCCAGGTATGAATGACCCTTCACTGGTCTTTCTTAAGGAAGGAAATCCCTTCACCCAAAGGATCTCATGATCCTTCGTTCTTGATGGACTAGCATAGGCAATGCACCAGGCAGGAACTGACATAGAGGCAATGCTGATCTCAGCCACATTTTCATAGATAATAGAATGATAGAGTTGGAAGGGACCCCAAGGTTCATCTAGTCCCACCCCTTGCAATGCAGGAATATGCAGCTGTCCCATAGGGGGATCAAACCTGCAACCTTAGTGTTATCAGCACCACACTCTAACCAAAGGAGCTCTCCAGGCCGACATTTTGCCTTCACCGCTCCCTACTGTGTTGTGATCATTGCCCTTCCCTCCCCTACATATGAACTTCCCCTTCCCATTAGCAGACTTTGTGACAAAGCACTAATTGTACGCTGCTCATCAGTCATGTTCCTTGATGCACATTTATAGAGGGCTTTCCATTTGCAGAGCAGCTTGTGTTGTATTTGTTTGTTGTATTCATACCCCACCTCTTAACCAAAAAGGTTAATGAGGCAGCTCACAGCATATAAAAACAAATCACTATAAAGCATTTGGAAGCGAGAGAGAAAACAAATAATAAGGAAAGCAATCAGTAACAGAAATCAAATAAACAGCAGCATCAAATCATGTTAAAAGCAGCAGGGGGGAAATGGTATGTTTATATTCTTTCTAAAGGTGAGCAAAGGAGGATCTGGATGAAGGGACAGGAGGCATTCTCTATACAAGGTGCCATAATAAAAAAGACCCTGTTCTTCATTGTCACCCTGCTCTTTTCAGAAGCTGGGGCCATGCTCATCTTAATGGTCAAGCAGCCTTGTGTGGGTACAAGCAGGGGTGGGGGACCTCCAGTTATTGCTGGGTTGCAACTTCCATCTTCCTTGACTATTGGCTGTGCTAACCAGAGCTGGTGGGAGCTATAGCCAAACAACATAATGCCAAGGTTGCAGGTTTGATCCCCATATGGGAGACCCATGTAGAGAGCATTTCAACCAATCAATCAAGACTTTAGGCCCAGCTCTATCATTAAACAGAGTGATGCAGATGCATCAGGCAGCAGAGGAGACGTGGGCTTTCCTGCCTCACAGACCAAACCAATTGGTCTAATTATGTACCTCGGCTTAGGAGGGAGGCACATGTTGCTTCCTCTCCAGCAGCAGGCAGGGCCTGCTAGATATGCAGCAGTTCTCACAATGATCCTGTAAGGCCAGTATACTTATTGTGAGGGAGGAGGGCTGTAGCTGGGATAACGGTGTCTTGCCTAAGGCAGCCTAGCGAGATGTTAATTACGGTGAGTTGTGAACCAACAACTTTCTAAATTGTACACCTATTCTCTTTGTTGGTTTCCATGCTGAAGAGGGCAGACTCTATCCATATACATCTCCACATGTAATTCTGAGCCTCTGGATTCACATCCCATAGCAGGTGACTCAGGTTCATCCACACTTCACTTCTTCCGCATCTAGAAAGCATGGGGCAGAGATTTTCCCTTGTCCCATGCTTTCTAGGAACAGGTCCAAGTGGTTTCCCATTTGTGCTGCCACTCTCCCCGGAAAAACACACTCTTTACCATTGAATTGTCAACCAGCAGAAAGCCCGATTGACCTTTACTCCAATTCAACAGTAAAAAGTGGGAAAGTGGCAGAACAAGTGGAAGTGTGGATGAACGCTCAGAGGCATGTAACTTTCAATCTGCTGGCACACCTTGCTGCCAGTCTGTAAAAAAAATTGAAACTGGAGGTGTCATGAGAAATGATGTCAACAAAAGTGGGCGCCCCTGTTCAGTTCCTCATGAGTACATTCAAGCCAGCAAGGGTAATCAAGTATCTGCTTCCACATCCTCCATTACCACTAACCCCAAGAGCCAAACTATCTTGGGATATTGGGGGTAAAAAATGGAGGCAGGTAGTGGTTTCTTGCTTGAAAGAAAGTAGCAGGTGTCTCATATCCCTGGCAGAGCATTCTTTCTCACTGAGGATGTAACTGGGAAAGCGCAGCATCCCTAGAAGGAAAATGATGCTGTTCCATTTCTACCAGGGAGAAAGCCCTTTGGCATCTATATGGTCTTCTCCCTGATGGAAATTAGTGCTTATAGAACCACATGGGAGTGCTGGGAGCTGTCGTCTGGGTCCCATTCCAGCAAGAAAGGATGCTCCACCTGTTACTCCCCCCCCAAAAAAGGAAGCATTATGGGCCCTTGTAGTGGAGGAAGTGGAAAAATCAATTGGGCCTCTTGCAAGGTCTCAAGTCTCAAGTACTCAACCAAAGTTTGGGGCTTTTGCTAGCGCTTAGGCCAATTTCTGGCAAACATTCGATCCATTTCAAGCAAAGGATGCTTGTGCATCCTTTTTTGAAATGGGCGAAAGTTACTAGTTTTGCATATTGCATGAGATTAGCCAAACCCCACCTTCTGACTCAAAAGCCTGAATTTGAGTTCCAAGCAGAAAACTTTGTAAATGTTGCTGGATTTGAAGAGCTTTTTTATCCAAGGGCATGCATAACACTTCCTTTACCAAAAAAATTTGTACCCTATGCAAAACAAATGCACACACAGAGAGACACACACATTAGATATACCCAGAAATGGGCTGTTAGTATGCAAGAGGCTCCCTGCTGCTGCGTAATCTGTTATCACTCACTCTCAGTGCACTTTATTCAAAGTGTGCACCCAACCTTAGCTTTGCAAAAAAATATGCAAAGGTCAAAATAACAAATTGCTTAGAGATTATAAAAATCCCATTTCCCATTCGCTGGAATCTATTCCCAGGAAGCTTCTAGTAATTTGTTGTTTTCACCTTTCTATATATTTTCATTCTCTGCTTTGCTGAGAAAAGTGCTATATGAGGATCCTTTCATTTCGTCCGGCTGCAAAAGTTAGGATTTATTTTTTTTAATGATGATGACAGGGGAAACCCATATAAAACTTTTGGGTTCCAATCCACTTAAAATTAGTCAAGACTAACCCTTTGAAAGGGACGCGGGTGGCGCTGTGGGTTAAACCACAGAGCCTAGGACTTGCCGATCAGAAGGTTGCCGGTTTGAATCCCTGCGATGGGGTGAGCTCCCATTGCTCGGTCCCTGCTCCTGCCAACCTAGCAGTTCAAAAGCACGTCAAAGTGCAAGTAGATAAATAGGTACCACTCCAGCGGGAAGGTAAATGGTGTTTCCGTGTGCTGCTCTGGTTTGCCAGAAGCGGCTTAGTCATGCTGGCCACATGACCCAGAAGCTGTACGCCAGCTCCCTTGGCCAATAAAGCGAGATGAGCGCCACAACCCCAGAGTCGGCCACGACTGGACCTAATAGTCAGGGGCCCCTTTACCTTTAACCCTTTGAAAAGAATAGAACAAGCTGATCATGACTAATGCCATTGTTTCCAAATGGGACAATGTCAAATTGGACATGACACCAGACATAAGAGAATCTCCCAAGCACAGGAGGTGGGTTAAAGAAGTCACCCCACCCCACCCCCCAGAGCAGCTAGCTCCACCTCTGCACCTGGCTAGTGTTTCCAGGCTGCTTCAAAGGGTCTTCCAGAACCTTTTAAGCCCACCCCAGGCTACCTTTCTTCCCACCTCCCTGGCCACCAAAGCAAATAGCATCTTGCCTCACTATGTCATTTATCTTGTTTCAGATAAGCTCATGTGTTACCTGACAATTAAGAAGCAAAGAAAATGGATATGAACACCCGTAAGGGACAATGGATGCAACTTGCCACCCTCCTATAGCATGAGTTGGATGGGATACAACAGAGCTGTAATTGAGATTCTGATAAGGGAAGGGTACCATTTAGTAAAGTGTTCCCTCAAACAGTGTGAATGATCTGACAAGGGGGAGGAATGCTAGAGTGGAATTAATCGCTACCTGAAAACAATTTCACACTAGACTAAACAGGGGGAAGATTTTTTTAAAAAACCTCAGATGCCTTGTATGGACTGTTTGTAACCCAAGCTTTGGTAATAAAACAAACAAAAAATACACAATTAACATGAACTGTGACCAAGAGGCTCTCAATAAGTAAAGACAACATTCCAAAGGCAGAAAGTGTGAGGAGCAGGCCTATTCTCATGATAAACGTTTACTGTAAACGCTGTGGTTGCTCCATAATTTCTCCTCAGTTTCTTTCCTCCGATGACAGATAGGTAGCCGTGTTGGTCTGCCATAGTCAAAACAAAACAAATTCCTTCCAGTAGCACCTTAAAGACCAACTAAGTTAGTTCTTGGTATGAGCTTTCGTGTGCATGCACACTTCTTTCGTGTGCATGCACACTTTCCTCCGATGAGTTCAAGATGACCCTACCTGCCCATGGACTGTCTCACCAGAGTGGTGCATGCTCTAGTTATTTCCTGCTTGGACTACTGCAATGCGCTCTACATGGGGCTACATTTGAAGGTGACTTTGGAAACTGCAATTAATCCAGGATGTGGCAGCCAGACTGGTGACTGGGAGTGGCCGCCGAGACGATATAACACCAGTCCTGAGAGATCTGCATTGGCTCCCAGTACATTTCCGAGCACAATTCAAAGTGTTGGTGCTGACCTTTAAAGTCCTAAACTGCCTTGGCCCAGTATACCTGAAGATGCGTCTCTACCACCATTGTTCAATCTGGACACTGAGGTCCAGCACCAAGGGCCTTCTGGCAGTTCCCGCACTGCGAGAAGTGAGGTTACAGGGAACCAGGCAGAGGGCCTTCTCGGTAGTGGTGCCTGCCCTGTGGAACACCCACCCATCTGATGTCAAGGCAATAAGCAACTATCTTACTTTTAAAAGATATCTGGAGGCAGCCCTGTTTTAATGCTGTATTGTGTTTTTAATATTCAGTTGAGAGCCGCCCAGAGTGGCTGGGGAAACCCAGCCAGATGGGCAGGGTATAAATATATTATTATTATTATTATTATTATTATTATTATTATTATTATTATTTAATTAATTAATTATCTGTGGTTCTCCCCCTCCTCATTTTATCCCCTCAACAACCCAGTGAGAGGTATAAAAGAGACTAAAAGAGACAGTGACCAATGTCACTCAGCGTGCTCCTTGATCGAGTGGGGATTTGGTCTCTCGGGTTCTCATCCAACAGACATCAATGACTCAAGTGGAATGCTGATTGACAGATGACATCCCATGTATTATTTGACAGTGACCTGCTTCTGATATTTCATATTTGACGCCTGCCAAAATCATCAAGAGGTGGAGAAATGTCATTGGAGGAATCATTCCAGCTGACCCTCCACCCTCTGCCTTTGGAAGCCTTACAACACTTGTGAGGAACCTTTGACCCTTCAGATGTTGCTGGATTACAATGCCTGCCATTCCTCGCCATTGGACATGCTTGCTGGGACTGATGGGAGTTATAGGTCAGTAACAGCTGGAGGGCGGAATGTTCCCAGCGCCTGTCTTCCAGGAAACTGTTGCAGGAGAGGGACTGTGAGCAATGTCATGGGATGAACGTCTACCTGAAGGGTAATGTCAAAGGGACAGCAGCCCTTTGGGAAACCAGGGCCTAGACATCTGGTCACACTACTGTAGCTTGATTCTTGGCTGATTTATAGCAGACAAAGCAGCAGGGACTGTTATATCCAGGACCAAGATGAAACTGTTCAAGCTCTCTTGCTATTTTTGCAGCTTCCAGGAGGTCTAATGCTGCCACATATTATCGCATTGAAATGTTAGGGGTTTCAAATTTTGTTACATTTGTCGTATGCTGCTATTTTACTGTTGCTGTTACTATGAAATTATTCTTGCAGGTTTATTTTGTGGCACATTCTTTTTCTCACTATTGTAAGCCACCTTGAACATAATCATTTGGATGGAAAATGCAACATACAAATAAAACAACAGTGATGATGGTGAGACACCGACAGATTGGAAGATCTCAATTTATGAAGTGCAATTTCAGAGTCACCTGGAAAATTCTATTTTTGGCTTTGAAATTCAACATTCACCAGCTAAATGGCAAAGCTGAAAATCCCAGCACATAGTAAATATTTTCAAATATTAGTTTCAACTGTTCACATAGATAGCAGGGAATACAAGAAGATGGGGGTTGTAATCTGCTAAATCCTACTGAGAGTAGACCCACTGAAGTTAATGAATCTACATTAGCCATGTCTATTAGCCTCAGTGGATCTGCTTGGCATAAAACTTAGTTATGTTATGTTATGTTATGTTATGTTATGTTATGTTATGTTATGTTATGTTATGTTATGTTATGTTATGTTATGTTATGTTATGTTATGTTATGTTATGTTATGCTATGCTATGCTATGCTATGCTATGCTATGTTTTATGTTATTTCTAGTGATGTGAAACAAATCCTCTGTTTGTAGGAATTTGAAAAAAGGGGGAAATTATCCATAATGATAGGAGGGGGGAATGACAAGAAGGACAGTAACAGTTGTGATCAGATCAGTGAGTCATGAAAAGAAAAAAGCTCCAACTTTAAGAAACAAAGCGTATGCACAAGCATTTTTTAAAAGCCAATAACAGCACTTTTTTCTTTTTTTTGCAGGATCGATCAGCTGCACTTCAGTAGTCACAGCTTGCTTCTTCCTTTGGAACAATGCCTGCCATTAAAGGATGCACAAAGTCAGGTGAAGGAGGCAAAGAACTTCTTAAGTGAAAAAGACACCTTGCTTCAGGTTCAGAAAAGGTGAACTGCTCTCCCGGTGTGTGTTTTAAAATGTATTTTTAAAGCCCAGACCCTTTCTGATTTTTTAAAAAATTATTGAAAACACCTCATACAGTGTGATCTGCCCACCTATTGGCCATTGGCTTCTTCTATGTTCTTTTGTTCTTAAGTTTTAAAAATGTGAGGAAAGAGAAATGAAACTTCCTCCACTCCTGAGGTCTGACAAGGCCCAAAGTGGAGAGCAACTTTTATTATTTAGTTATTAGTTTTATATACCACACTATATCTATATCAATAGATATAAAAAGGTACCCCTGCCCGTACGGGCCAGTCTTGTCAGACTCTAGGGTTGTGCGCCCATCTCACTCAAGAGGCCGGGGGCCAGCGCTGTCTGGAGACACTTCCGGGTCACGTGGCCAGCGTGACATTGCTGCTCTGGCGAGCCAGAGCCGCACACGGAAACGCCGTTTACCTTCCCGCTAGTAAGCGGTCCCTATTTATCTACTTGCACCCGGGGGTGCTTTCAAACTGCTAGGTTGGCAGGCGCTGGGACCGAGCAACGGGAGCGCACCCCGCCGCGGGGATTCGAACCGCCGACCTTTCGATCGGCAAGCCCTAGGCGCTGAGGCTTTTACCCACAGCGCCACCCGCGTCCCTATCAATAGATATAGATATAGATATATAGATATAGTTATAGATATAGATATAGATATAGATGATATAGATATAGATGATATAGATATAGATATAGATGGATTCTTTCTTATTTCTTGCACAACATCTCCCCAGAAGGCTCCCTCCTGCCTCCTTCCCTTTACTTTGACTTGTCCTTTTATTTACAAATATATATAAATAAGCAGAGGGCAAGTTTTTCTTTTTGGCCTTTCACCAAAATACAATAATGCCATGCTCACCTTCCCACCAGGAAAACTGGGGAAGGGCGGGGGGGGGGAGAAGGAGAGTGTCAATGAATCAAACTTCCAATAACTGTATGGAGTAGCTACAATTTATGCATGCAAGATAGAGGGATCTGGGAGGGAGAGAAGGAAAGAACCTGGCTGTGAGTAATGATGAGGCCGAGGGTATCTCTTGCAAATAAATTCTGTTGCCGTTGCGTGTTCAGCGCCTGGGCAGTGCATGGGAGGGGGTGGTATTCCGTGCCAAATGTGTGTATATAAAACGCTTCCCATCTTTCAATTAGATTCCTGATGGGATCTGACCAGCCTTAAGTTTTGCCTCCTGGCAGAACGGACACATCGGCTTCATTCATCCTGCCCTGTGAATAACGCAGCCTCCAACAAGGCTGTAAATCATTTTAATGGGATCCTCAGATTCAGATATTAGGAGCTTCTAATTTATCGCTGCTTTAGGATGAAAGGGTGGAGGAATCATTACTGACCACCTCGGATGGGCGACGTGCAGCCCTTTTAATGTAACATTGGGAGTCTTTGATAAATCATCTGCCACATAGTATATTTTAAGCCTGCCACCCTCCTCTCTCCCTCCCTCCAATACTTCCCCATCCTTTGGCCTCTCTACTACCCACTAAAAGGGTGACCTCTTGATTTCAAATCATACTTCCATGTAACTGCTTTGTGGGTTTTGTTTTTAACAATTGAGCGCTATATAAATTGGAAAAAAGGAAGCAAATAATTTGTGACTTTTTCCTAACTTGGTCATTGCCACTGTTGCTTTGATGGTTCAAGAAGGTGTTTAAGAACATAAGAAGAGCCTGGCTGGTGGATCTGGCCATTGGTCCATCTAGTGCAGTATACTGTTCCCACAGTAGCTCCCCAGATGCCAGAAACCTGCAAGCAGGACCTGAACACAAGACCACCCTCCCTTTATGCAGTTTCCAGCAACTGGGATTCAGAAGCATATAGCCTCTAACTGTGATGGCAAAGCATAGCCATCATAGAATTGTAGAGTTGGAATGAACCATGCGAGTCACCTAGTCCAACCCTCTGTAATACAGGAATCCTTTGTCCAATGTGGGGTTCAGACTCACAACTCTGAAATTAAGAGTCTTATGCCTAATAGTCATCAATAGCTTTCTCCTCCATAAATTTGTCTGATCCTCTTTTAAAGCTGTCTGTTGGTGGCCATCAGTGCCTGCTGTGGGAGACAGTTCCACAGTTTTTCATAGGGTGCTTACTGAAGCTTTTGGAAGAACTGGAGGAGGAGATGCATATTTCTTGCTATGCATAACATCCAAGTCAGATATGGATCTGTGATGTTTGATTCTGCAATGGCCCTTTCATACATGGAAGACGTTGCTTGATGCTGGAGTCACGGAGTGATTAATCTACTTGTTTGAACCAACACAAATCAGACCAGTGGGCCATTGAGCCCAGTGTGGTGCCATCTGACTAGCAGCAGCTCTCTAGGGCATGTGAGGGGAACCAGATGTTCTCAGGTTACAGCTCCGATCATCCCTGACCATCGGCCATGCTAGCTGCAGCTGATGAGAAATAATGGCCAACTATACCAGGAGGACCATGGGTTTGACATCCCTGCTCTGAACTGTGAACTGTCTAGCTCAGGAAATGTCCTGTGTGTGATCCTTCTCCTCCATTGTTGGACAAATGTCACCCACAGTACAGGGGCGTAACTAGCTGCTGATCCAGCACCTGGAGCAGTGGGTGTGGGACGATCTGCCCATGGGGGCACCACAGCGATACACGCACGGGGGCGCTGTGACAATCCACCCAGGGGGGCACTGCGGTAAGCTGTCCATGGAGTCAGCCTGGCGGACGCAAGCCCCACGCTGCCGTTTCAGGCAGGACGGGGCCCCGAGCCACCGCATCACTCCCAGGAGTGACGTGTGGCTCAGGTGCTCTGCAGGCCAAGCCCCACAGTAAGTGCAGTCCCCCGTCGTGTGCCATTTTGTCACCCCCTCTGGGATGACACCAGGGGCGGCCCGCACCCCCCTTCCTACGCCCCTGCCACAGTGTGATAAATGCTTGCATCCTGATGCCATTCTTTTTGCTTTAAAACATTTGCCCATAGTGTAATTGTTAAATTTGGATTGTGGCTCTCTGGCATTCATCTGCTACTGTTTTGGTGATTGATGAACCATCTTTTAAGTTCAATCTGCTGCCTATGATGAGTCAGAGAGAGAAAGATAATATAACAAATGGCTGTTTACCTCAACAGCTTTAGAAATCTCAGAACTCAGAGCTCCTAGTCCTTCCACTGCTAGCAAAAGGGAACTCCTCATTTCTCCCTTGTCACCTCATTCTCACCTCTCTGCTAGTTTCTGTTTATGCTTAATTTTAATTAATTAACTAATTTACTGCAGTTATATTCCACCTTTTCCTGCAAGGAGATAAAGATGGTACATGCTTCTCCCCATCCTCATTTAATCCCTGCAACAATCCTGTGAGATAGGTTAGGCTTAAAGGCAGTTACTGGCCCAAGGTGAGCTTTATGACACTCTTTGCACTATCCTACACAGGCTCTCTGTGAAGTGGTCCATGCTTCAAGTTTGTCATTTGTGTCAGCGTTTTTGTTATTATTATTATTATTTCAGTCCTCGGCCATGACCAACCCCATGCAGTTCACAGGCAGGGTTGTTCACAACTGAAGTGTAAGTCCATTGTGTAAGTCCCCCTTGAACCATTACATACATGTGCCACCTTACCTTCAAGTGGCTCCACCCTGCTTCCCAAATGTCATTCAAGTTTAGTTATAGACAGGGCTTTTCTTCAGCCAGAACTTGCCAGAACTCAGTTCTGGCACCTCTCACATGGGCGCCATTGCTATTATAACAAGGGAGGAGTTCGTGGTGAGTTCCTGCATCTCTTTTTCTAGGAAAATAGCACTGGTCATGGAGAAAATGATTGCATTGTGGTAAACAGTTTCAAGGGTCTTAGGGTGGTTGTGGAGAACCAATTAAATATTAATAAAGGCAATTTGCTCCCAGAAAACCATCTCTCTCTTTCCCTGCCCCCTTGCCCATCACACTGGGATGCCTGGAAGGAGATTAGCACACCCTCAAACTTTTGTCCTAGATATTGAGAGAATGCTACCCATTTACAGTGCAAAGCGTACAGCATGTAACATCCCCATCCATCTACTCCACTCACCACTGGTTATCAAGGCCCAGAGCACTCAAAGAAAACATATAATCTTCACAGGCTTGGGAATACAATACATGTATTTTATTGGTCTAACCTTGTTGTTGAGAGAGTTCTGTCCATTTAGCTATGAATAATTCAGCCTGAAACAGGGTTTATTGAAGGGTGCTGTCCAAAATGCACTAGTTAAGGCTTTGGCAGTGTTTTCTATTATAAATTCCCTCTATAGAGCAGCTTTTATCGCTCCATTACTAAATGGAATGGGGGAAAAGAATCTCCCTGGGTCAGAATACAGTACACAAAGGCCCTGCAGCTAAGCAAAGCATCTCTGGGTCTTCTGATTTTATGTTGTATCATAAATACCAGTCCCTCTATATTTTTTTACAACTTAGCCCCATCCATGCTTACTCTGAAGTAGGGATGAGGAAACAGGCATTTTTGTTTTCTCTCACTTTCTCATTTTTCCCAATCTTCAGTCCAGCTCTCCACATTTCCACATCAGTTTGTGTTGCTTTTCAAAGTCTTTATGAAAATTCACCAGTGTTTTAGTGCAAATTTCTCCCAATGTACACATTTTTGTATTCAGCTTTGCCTAATATGCCATTTTTTGCAAAGCAATTTCCCCATTTGCAATAGATTTTTGTTAGTAATTTTCATTGATAGATGCATTCATGTGCACACTTTATTCTAAGATATTCACTTTTGCACACATTTGTTTGCTTGAGAACTGCATTGCAAATTTCAAAAGATGGCTGTTCACATCTTGTTTCAAATAGTGTGAATCAGGTAAGTTTGCCTTTAAGTGTGAAGTGTATCACATTTCTCCTCCATGCCTGCTCTGAGTAAGAGTTACCATAAGAGCAATCTAATCTCCCCTGTTGCACAGGATAACGGTGTGTGTGTGGATTGAACAGAGGTTCTATTCCACTTAGGAACCAGCCTCCTGCCAACTGCTGCCAATGGGATTATGCAATGGAAGGGGCAGGTTTGAAACAGCTTGGGATCCCAGGGAGCTTGAGCCAGTCTCACAGCCATTAATGTCCAACACTGGGTCTGATACAAACCTGATGGTTGCACCAGCATCAAGTTAGTGCAAGGATTGCTTCTGATTGCTGCTCCCCCCCCCCCCGCACGCTCAAATTTCCACCATTGACAAGAACAGCAGGGCAATGCATGCAGTGGTAGCACAGTCTGAATTGTGTCCTAAGTTCAGATTTGCTCACATCCTCCCCCCTCCATTGCTTCTTCCTGAGATCTTAAAGAATGATAGAACTGTAGAATTGGAAGACACCCAAAGGGTCCAACACCCTGCAGTGCTGTTATTAACATTGTCATGAGTGGGGTTGAGCTCCTTTTTGCTGACTTTTGCCACTAGTACCAATACGTTGTAGGAAGTGGGAAGGAGGAGAAGGGTAAGAGAGGGTTGGGAGCTGGAGCCTCACCTCAGACTGGGTTTGCTGCTGCTACTGTTCCCCACTCCTCATTTCATGCCTCTTTCTCCATGCAGGCTCTCTGGGAAAATGGACTGCTGGCTGCCTTCATGTTATCTCCCCACAACAAGAACCTCTTCCTGCTTCTGGTGAAGGACTTCCTCCTCCCTCTTCCCACCTACACCTGTGCAGAATAAACCTTAGTGTGATGACAGTCTTGCAGAAATATAGATATAGGAAGATATATATCCCCCTGTTCTTTCCATCTCAATCAACTGTTGTACTGTCAGACTTCTGTATCTCTTGATGTTGACTTTCCTTGAACAACAAATTATGGCCTCTTCACCTTATGTCCTTACAGCTTCCTATAATGAATTCTTACAGCATTACGTTGACATAGATTCTTTGCACTGCCTAGCCCCAATTCCTTTGAGTTCTCTTCCAGAAATTGTGCTCTGATTCACTAAATCTTTAGTGTAATCATCCTGCCGATGCTCTCAAATAGCAGCACCAAACTGAAATCCCTTATTGCTTTGCATTTCATCTCTTTATTTACCCCATGAGCAATGCACAAAACACACTTCCTAATCCTCTCCTTTTATCCCCTATGTGCCTTTCTATGATACCGCACACAGCAGAATCTGCAAGGTAATGTCACTTGTTGACGTGGTTTTAAGTCAGGCTGTGGGGGCATAGGGGACACACAAGTGAAAAAGATGCTAATAGGCCATGGGCAGGGCAATGGACCCTGGACATGATGCTTGCAAGTAGCCTATCAAGGATCCAGTAAGAGGTATTTGGCCTTTCCAGCTTCTCTGTTCACACTATACTAAGGCAGAACTAAAACAATTCCAAATATTTTCTGAATGTTATTCTTTTTTTTTGACTGCTGCTCATCCTTATTTTAACCACCACCACCTCCACCACTTATTCAGAACTTCTTACAGAGATGTTCCCATATTCATCTTAAATAGCTTTCAGATGCCCTCATTAGTCTTCATGGATGCAGCATAATGTAGCCAAATGTGACTGGCTACATACCATTGTGACATTATCCCACTCATTGCATAGTCCCTGGTAGGAATTAGTCACCCTTGTAATTCATCCAGGAAGGAGGGAATTTCCACCCCACCAAAATTGCTACGTATCTTTGGCTCAGAAATTCAGACTGGTGAATATTCAGCACAGCTCAAGCTGAGACTCTTTCATCAGAGTCTCCTTTTTTCATTAATTGTGCAGCAGTAACAATTATGTAAGCAACTGATTTTTGCTTAAATCGTTGCATGTACCGTGGACCTCGTAAACAAGGATATGTTTATATACTATGTCCTCCAAGGAGCTGAAGGTAGTGCATATGATTCTCCCTATTTTACCCCACAACACCCCTGTGTGGTAGGTTAAGCTGAGAGGCAGTGATTGGCCCAAGGTCACCTAGTGAGCTTCATGGCTAAGTGGGGATTCAAAGCCTGGTCTCCCAGGTCCAGCACTTGAAGCACTAGACCACACTGGCTAAATATATGTTCTACTGACTCTATAATCTGTTAGTGTAATTCTGCAAAAATTGTTGAGGGAAAGGATTAGCATGCACAAAGGGTGTTCAAAATAAAACTAGGGTGTACTATACTTTACTGCTTTTAACCGAGCAAATGAGAATCTATAAGGGTAAAGCAAATGACGCAGCTTTCAGTTTTCCTGGAACAGAGGCTGAGTGTGGATTGCGTGGGCTGGGCTGAAATGTGCTTGCATGTATGCAATAGGTCATGCCACCAGCTCTGATTGCCGTCAGCTTCCACCCCACCATCCTTGTCACCAATGCGAAGCTTGCTTCGATGGTGAATGGTGCTAAAATAGCATCGGCGCTGTTTGTGCCTGTCCCCAAATGTGTCTGAGGCATCATTGTCGGGGAGATGTCATTATCTTGTCAGATCTGCCTTCTTCCCGAGGTGTTAACATCGCTCTGGAAGGCTAAAATTACAGGGTGCAGCACCAGTCAGAAGCCCGTACAAAAGATGCAAATGACTTCGTCTTGCATCCAAAGGGATTGGCAAGCAAGTTGCTTCTTGTATTCCCCGGGTGGGGGTGAAGAGTTGAAAAAATGAGAATTGAAACTACATTACTATTGCTAATCCAAAAGTAAGATGCTATAATGATTGGGGTGGAGTAGAGTTTCAAGCCACAGCATTACCTTACTGTACATGAATAATAACCTAAAATATAGGGAGGGAAGGAAGGAAGGAAGGAAGGAAGGAAGGAAGGAAGGAAGGAAGGAAGGAAGGAAGGAAGGATGGATGCTGGATAGTTAAAGGAAGAGTTATGGTAGGATCTTGTGGATCTGACAGAACTAGAGTAGAACCTGGCATGTATTGGATCAGGCCTGGCAAAGCCAATCTGGTACAATAAGGCAGAAAAGTATTTGAGGAGTATGCAGATCTGCATCACTAGTTGTTCCAGAACTCAGCTGTCCTAACTGAGTTAGCAAAATGATGCTGTCTGGTTGGCAAATCTGCATCCCCCACCCTATAAAAGCCACAGGTGTTCTCCAACTGCTAGCTAGCTGTTGAGGAGGAGGGGTAGGGAAACTATATCAGTGAATTTGGCTGGCTGCCTCTCTTTAACACTGTGTTGATAAAGATTTAATTGGCAATTCTTGTCTGTAATGTAAGATAATTGCAGATATTCCCAGGAATTGTTTATAGGGTGGAAGGAAACAGATGCATCTGAGATGTATTGGAAGAGTTTAATTAAAGACTTTATAAAAGTGCAACAGATGGCATCCTTTTTAGCTGAGGGGGCAGGTGGCAGAGGCCTTTGGTGGCATCTCAGAGTCTTGAAGGAGGGTGTTCTCTTCCCTGCTGAGCTCATGTGTTCCTTTCAGAAGTCTCTGTTCAGTTGGCACGTGTGTATTTTGTACTCTCCAGAATTTTTCACAGATGAAAATGGGCAGACTTTTGTGTCATTGCAATCAGCCCATTTTCACATCAAGCAGCCCAGTTCCAACCTTTTCTTTATTCTTATTACTGAAGGATCTTATCTTCATGATGTAATTGCAAAAGCTGCTTCTGGACAGGGTTTTAGTGAAATTGAACATAGCATATCCTTCTGCATTGTGGAGATCAGAACAGGGAAACTTCTGTGCATGGCCTAAGTGCCATATCTGAGCTAATCAGAGCTGAGGAAGGTACCAGATCAAATGTGAAGCCTTTTATAGCCCTTCCTGTCCAATGGGCAACCGATGTGGCCAGAGCCAGGCCAGAGCCCCAGAATTCTTTCAGCTGAGAAGATGATCCAAGCTGCAGATCTTCTAGTTTACTGTATGGGGTCAGTATGCAGAAGTTCCCCATTCTAGCCCAGGCACTTGCTGATGCTAAGCATAGAGTCCGCCTGAGTCTGACAGTGCTAAGTCATGACCTGCTAGCCTGTCCTCATCCTTTCTACTTTCTGCTCTCTGATCCTGATGACTTTTGGTTGTGACTTGCTCATTGGTTCTGGCCACTGGCCTGTCCTGAGAGCTGCCTCATCTTAGGTTACTTCCTGTGGCCCAGCCTCAGACCCTCCAGCCAAAGAGTTTGTTGCTGTTATACCAGTTTGACTGGTATAATATTGACTAGCTGTGTGCCCTTGCAATAGAGGCTGGTCCATTAGGGTGATGTGTTCCACAAAGCTCAGTCAACTCTCACCTGCCTGCAACAAATCAGGGAATAGTTCAGCCTATCACTGGCTCTGTTGGTCTCCTTGCTTTCCACCCTACCAGTGTTAATGCCCTCCAGCCACCTATCTGCCCAAACTTTATATTCCATATCAATGATTCCCAAACTAGGCAGTATTGGCCTCTGGGGGGACACTACCTTGGGGGGTGCCGAGAGGCAGAGGAGCCCTGGAGGTGTCAATGACTACCGGACTTTGAAAAGCTGGTATCCCTGGATAAAGTTTATCCATTTTATTGAACTAATTAAACTAAATAGTTTTAATTTTGAGTAAATATACAATTAATCATTACGGTTTTAAATTTTATTGTGTTCTTATCTTCTTTAGTGTGTGGTGCAAACTCCTATTTGGAATAATGCTTTTTATAAAGTAGAGGGCTCTGGAGATGAATATATGGAACCAAGGGAGCAGTGGTCCACAAAAGTTTGGGACTCACTATTCTATATGCTACTTTAATATACAGGAGTGCAGTCCACCCTTTCCTCTGGCCATCCTAGCTAGCTCTCTGCCTCCAGTGCAATTCCAGCAAGCTGGATGTGCCACGGGGAGCTCACAGGAAGGACATGATGAATGTGCCTACCCTGCCTTAGTCAGATATACACTGCTTCTGAACATGGAGGTTTAATTGCTGCAGTTGTGGACAATGAGCGGTATTCAATAAATCTTTGCTCAGGGTAGTCCCATTGAAATTGATCAACATGGTTACATTAGGACCATTTATTTCAACAGGTTTACTCTGAGTAAAACTGAGTTGACTACGTTGTCATGGTTTTTGTTTGTTGTTTTGTTATGTGATATTCGTTATAATTTTGGGAAATCTAATAATTTTTTTTAAAAAAACAACAACCCTGAGTTGACTACTACCCAATAGCCTTTAGCAGGCCTGAATTCTGTGGCTTTGCCTAATTTAGCAGCTGATCACATTGGGAATTTAAAACAATCCACAGGCCGTCACAATTTGGGGCTGCTTTTGAAAGGCCTGCGTTTTGCCAGTGCCTCTGCTGTGCCTTTTTGAATTCTGGGGTCATCCCTACAACGTTGACCTCGGGGAGGGGGGGGCTGTCATCTTTTTCCGCTGCTCGGTGTTCATTTCACTTCAGGCTCTTTTGGAAAGTGATTACCCAGGAGAGATTTGGTTACACGTTTGGCTCCGGCAAAGGAAACATCAGTTGCTGGGGCAGCAAGAGAACTTGGCAGTTTTTTTGCATGGGTTTTGGGTTTCTCCCATGCCAGGCAGAGCCAGCTTTCCCTGGATCTGATGGCTGAACTTTGGAGCTGGTTCCTTTGGTTTTCCGCCCTTGCTTTCTTCTCAAGAGGTATGTTTAATTTTTCTTAATGTGTTCATTCTCTCCTTCATCACTGTCACCTAAATTGCTGCATACGCACCATACAATTAAAGCACACACCCCCCCCCAAATCCTGGGAGCTGTAATTTACCCATAGTAAAGCTGTAGTTTCCATCACCCTTAACAAACTACAATTCCCAGGATGGGGAAGAGTTGTAGTGTGCTGTAAATATATGGTGTGTACATGCAGTCTTTGTTTTTGTTTTTCTAAAAAGAAGATTTGAGGGAACATTCTGTCCTCCGTTCCTTAAGCTTGGACAAGACCCTGAGTCGAGAATCTTTTACACGGCTTGTTGGCATTTTTGATGGTGGTGGTTGTTTTAAAAATAGAGATTTTTAAAAAAATAATTCAGAAGAGAAAAGTAGTGCATACTCATTAATCATAAAGTTTAAAAATAAGACTTCGCTAAGGGGAACGATGAATACAGTTTTAAATCATAATTCAAGAAGGAAATAAAAATCACCCATCTTTTGGCAAATTTGTTTTCATTCAATGCATTTTCTCTTGTTCAGTATGTTTAAATAGTGAGATGCTTCTGTTGTCCCTGCCCCTTCCTTACATGGTATGGATAAGCCCACCATGTCTTAAAAGTGCATTTCCCCCTACACCCCCCCCAAAAAAGCCTGGGAACTGTAGTTTGTTAAGGGTGCTTGCAATTATGACTCAGGGGTTACACTTCCCAGGATTCTTTGGGTGGGGTGTGCTTTAAATGCCCTTTAAATGTATGGTGTAAATATAGCATTAATTTCTGTGCATGCTTAGTAAATTTCTGGCAGTGGAACAATCCTGCCCCTTTTTGCTCTGCTCTCTTCTGTTTGCATGTTTGAAAGAAAAGTCCATTTCTGAAAGAACAATCTGGCCCATGCTGCCGGCATCAAACATCTCCACCATTTGTCGGGCTGCTTGCCTAATAAGCAAATAATGAATACATGTGCCGAGAGTCAAGTCCTCCAAAAGGCATAGCACCAGGCACAGTTACAAAGGGATTGTGGGCCAGACCTTCGTTGGATTGAAACTAATGGGCTCTCACTGGCTGAGCTCTGGAAATGATGTCGGGACACAGAAAAGAAGCATTTTAGTGTCAAGTGCTCACACTAAAATCTTTAGACCTTGGGTTCAGGAAGCCCATTTCCTAATACAAACTGTTGATTCGTGAATTCCACTCTTTCAAAAAGGGTGTTTGTTTGTTTTTGTTACAAAGGAGCTTGTAGTATGATCTTCATTTTGCCCAAAGGGAACTGTCCAGTATACCTGAAGGAGCGTCTCCACCCCTATCACTCTGCCCGGACACTGAGGTCCAGTGCCGAGGGCCTTCTGGCGGTTCCCCCACTGCGAGAAGCCAAGTTACAGGGAACCAGGCAGAGGGCCTTCTCAGTAGTGGCACCCACCCTGTGGAGCACCCACCCATCAGATGTCAAAGAGATAAACAACTACCTGACATTTAGAAGACACCTGAAGACAGCCTTGTTTAGGGAAGCTTTTAATGTTTCACAGACTATTATATTTTAATATTTTGTTGGAAGCCACCCAGAGTGGCTGGGGAAACCCAGCCAGATGGGCAGTGTATAAATAATAAATTATTATTATTATTATTATTATTATTATTATTATTATTATTATTACTACTACTACTACTATTATTATTATTGAAGTTGCATTGAAGTCTCTTGAAAGCAGGTGTCAGTTTTTCCCCCTGAAGGGAGCCATATTTCTGGATTCTCAGGTTGGCTTCTGCTCTTCTGTTAGGCAGAGCTGGATTTGTGGCCAGCTCCAGAATCCCTCCTTGATAGCAAGGTTGTGTCCTGGGATGTGATAAAACTGCCTCTGGACATGTGTTGAGTGCCTTTCGCGAAGCCACACTGTGAACCTCCCCATTGCTAGGATTGCTGGTAGATCTCCCAGGCCATGTCTTTCAGACATTGAGTCGTAACCCCATTCTTCTGACCTTCTGAACTGAGAGGATTGTGGCATACAGGGCCAGACTAAGACCTGGGAGACAAGTGTTCAAATCCCCACTAAGCCATGAAACTCACTAGGTGACCTTGGACTGGTCACTGCCTGACACCCTGAAATACTACACAAGCTTGTTGTGGGGATTAAATGAGGAGAGTGAGAACCATGTACACCACCCTGAGCTCCTTGAAGAAAAAGAGGGGCAATTTATTTATTTATTGCATTTATATCCCGCCTTTCTTCCATCATGAAACCCGAGACAGCGTACATGTGAGAGCCAAAGGGGTGTAGTGGTTAGAGTGTTGTACTAGGATCTGGGAGAGCAGGGTTCAAATGCTCACTCGGTCATGTTGCTCACTGGGTGACTTTGAGTCAGTCAGTCACTCTCAGCTTAACCAACCTCACAGGGTTGTTGGGAGGATAAAATGGGGAGGAGAAGAATGTTGTAGGCCACCTTGAGATCTTTGGAGGAAAGGTGGACTATAAAAGCAATAAGACAGACAGACAGACAGACAGATAGATAGATGTGGTCCCCAGTTGCTCTCCAATCCAGGTACTGATCCAGACCTGCTTAGCTTTAGCAATGTGGTGGCCTCACATGCCTTCAGACAATTTCTGTTGGGAAGCTAGATCTAGTCTCCTGGCTCTGCTGTGCTTGCCATCTCCAGGGACCATTTTCTTCTTTCTTGCAGGAACACTCTCTCTTTCCATGAGCGATGAAGATATAATCTGTAAGAGTCGGTGCCTCATTAACTGCTCAAAAGGATACTACCACACCTCTGGCAACTGCCTCGAGTGCCCTGTTGGATTCTTGTAAGGGAGCACCTTAGGCCAGTGATTTGTGTGTGTGTGTGTGTGTGTGTTACACGATGAAACTAGAAATGCATAAAGGGATCCCAGAGAAGCTTCTGTTTGTTTCTGTGCTTAGAAGAGGCTAGCAGGGAGGTAGCACTTTACAGAGGTTTCCAGGCAAAAAGGAAAAGGAAGTAGGGCTCTGCCCCGAGGTCCATGCAAACTATAATTCATTATTGGAGACAGAGGAGAAGCAGGATAGTAAGGGACAATATTTCAGCATTGGGTGAAGGATGGATTTAGAATGGGATGAGAGTATTAGAAAGAAGGACCTTGGAAGAATTTGCAGATCATGGGGATGGAGGAGAAATTTGATTTAGTATGCCTTTAAAGCCAAATATATCAAAGTCACACTGTCTGAAACAATATGTGACCCAGGACACAGCTATCCTTTGAAATTCTCACTTACCTAAATTTTCTGCTGCAGTTCTGCAACCAGTATTTGCCAAAACGCACATGCAAAGTTAAAGCATGCATAAAAATGTATGTATCGGTGAAAGTAACATACAAAATACAAAACAAAAAAAAATTCCTTCCAGTAGCACCTTAAAGACCAACTAATTTAGTTCTTGGTATGAGCTTTCGTGTGCATGCACACTTCTTCAGATACTTCTTTCAGTGTGCATGCACACGAAAGCTCATACCAAGAACTAAATTAGTTGGTCTTTAAGGTGCTACTGGAAGGAATTTTTTTTGTTTTGACTATGGCAGACCAACACGGCTACCTATCTGTATACAAAATACATTATATCAAGGGAAATGGCTTGCAAGAAATGTGTACTTTAGTTAAAACTACCTACTGAGCCTAAAAAGCTACATTCCTGTGAGTGAACTGGAAGAAAACCTTCACTTTGAATCCCAATATAGAGTGATAGTATGAGAGTCAGCCTATTAGGTCTAATTGAGGTTCAGCTGAGGCTTAGCCCTTGCTGTGGGAAACTCACAAGGAGCCAAAGGTCAGTTGGACTCAAACTTTTGTTGCTTTGCTTTGCAGCTGCCCAGGAGGTCAGATAGCTCCACGCTTATGCCCCATAGGAACCTATAATCAACTTACAGCTCAGGAAGATATTGCATCCTGCCAGGTAAATGAAACAGGACGGGAAAAGGGAGAGTATGGAGAGAGTCAGTAGCTAAAATGGGGTTCTGTTCATACTCAGAGGGTGCTCAATTGCTGAATCCTTCTTGTTTCTTCAAACAATAAGGCAGGGAGTCCCACCCACCATGGGCATAGCCAGGCTTTATTTTAGGAGGGCAGAACTGTGACACAATTGGTCAGTTAAGTATTTAGCAGCTGATTTTTGAAATAAAATTTAAAGGCTTCAATCTCTCTCTCTTTCACTCTTTTCTCTCCCCACCCCCCATGTGTGTTGAGGAGCCCACAGTGTACTCAGGAGCAGAGCGGGAGACAGATCTCATGCAGTTTATCATGGGTCGGGGGGCAGGTAGAGCACAAAGTAAAACCTGTCAGCTGGGATAGTGCTCTGCTGATTATTGCAGCTAACATGAGGGAGCACCTATGTGAAGTGGCAGTGCTGAAGGGCCTAGACATTCCTGGAATGAGGCTCTATAGATTGTCAGGGCCATCTTCAAAACATATAGAGCCAGCTGGAGGCTGTTGTAAACTTAGGGGCTGGTAACACAGGCTCCTGTCCAGATCCATCCTTACCTCCCATCTAAATGTACTTGGCATAGAAGATAGCGGTCTCTAAGTTAAAAAATGCAACTTTCATCATCCGGGTATCAAAATCCCCGTCATTAGATGTTCTGAATTAAAATAATACATTCAGTTGTTCTCCCTCTGCCAGGCAAAACATGGGGCGTGTTCCCAGATCCTGTGATTAACACAGCTCTGCAGTGCTATTTAAGAGAAATTACTCTTTCATCAGCTGCTCGTAACTGATGTGAGCCCAAAAGAATATTATGGGATTGTTTCTGATGTGTTTGGGTTGTTTACTAACCTCCTGGGCATTGCAAAATGTGAGCTCCAGTTTTTTGGCTTTTGACTTTCTTTCTTTCCCTCTTAAATATTCCTGGTGCCAAGTAAGCTCCCACAAAACACCCCTGCTTCCATCTTCTGCCAGAATAAAATAAAAAGAGTTCATTGAGTCTATCCTTCTCTCTAATACAGAGTATATGTCAACAGAGTGCATTCTATAACACCAGCACTACCAGTGAAAAATCCCACCTCTACATTATGACATGTCAATAATCATCAAGCCATGGCAAGGCTAACTGGGGTTTCATTTATTCATCTTTATCCTGTTCCCAGGCAGGTTGGGTGGGTGGGGGGTCAGTCCTTTTGGTTTCCTGGTTCAGAGTTGTTTAGGTTTTATATGTAAGTAACTTGACCTTAAAACTGGCTTGGCGGCCAGTGCAGATCCCTTAGCATTGGTGTGATAATGTACCCACTGCTCACAACCCAGACCACAATATGCAGCACCAACTGAAGCCCCTGGACCAGCCACAAGGGAAGGTCCACATACTGTGCATTGCAGTAGTCTAAACATGAGCTTACCAGTCTATGAGTTACAGTGGCCTGGCTATCCTTGTCCAGGAATAGCACAATTGATGCACTAGCTGAAGTGGTGCTAATGGCTTTGCCCGTGGAGGTCACCTAAGTCCACCACACATGAGTTGGATCTAAAAAGTTGCTGAAACACCTGGCACATGAAGCAAGAGGAGATCACGAAATGGAGGCAAAAATGTTGGTGTTATAAAGGGCAAATGCTTTTTCATGAGTTGTGTCACAGATACGCAGACATTTGCCTGCTAGTGAAATGTTATTCATAAAGATCTTGGTTCCAGTAATGGCAAATTGGGAACGCAGCATTTATGTGACTCCTTTGGGGACACCATTCCACTTAATAGCACACCTCTTAATGGTTCATAACTTCCTTGGCAGGCCTGCCCAGATGGTTACATCAGCTTGGGCACCCGAGCTGGGTGCCAGGTGTGTCCAGATGGCTACCGGTGTGATTCACAGATGGGTCTACAGCGAAAGTGCATCCCTGGTCAGTATTCGCCTGCTGGAGAGATGGAGTGTCAGGAATGCCCCAAAGGATATGTCTGCCCCGATGGACAGGAGATACAGGTATAGAGTATCACACCTAATGCTAGCTGATCTCCTAATTGGTGTTCATCTTTTAGATGAGAATAGGATGTGTCCTTTTTCTGTTGATATAGTATAAGCACTTTTAGTTAATAATAATTTCTAATATTTTGATGTATTTTAACTTGATATTGTATCTTCTTTCTGTCTTCTTAATTGTATGGTAGTGACAAATAAGTAATAATACATACATACATACATACATACATACATACATAGTTTTTTTAATGTCCCTCTTAACTCTATTTTTGGTTGCAAATTTATTTTGTTTGTGTATTAAGGATCAATTGGGCTTTGGTTGTATGGATAATTTTGTGTTGGGGAAAGGCACCCTCATCAAATTGTTCTCTCTTTTCTCTCTTCAGCATTGCCCAGGTGGCCACGAGCCCAATCCCGGCCATACCTTTT